TGGAAGGTATTTAGGTACTGGTCCTCCCTATATATCTCTGTTGGTATGGTCTTTTAAAATGTAGAGAAACCAATTTTCTCTTAATCCTATTCTGTGTTTGCCACCACTGTATAGAAAAAAATCTCTTAGAGCCACAAGATGTGTGGAGGTTTCTTAAAGATACTAGTTACCAGGAAAGAGGCAACATAACAAGATAGAAAAAGTTTATATAAATGCAGTTCTAGTCTAGTTAACCACTAGAAGAAAAACTGCAACCCCAACCCTGCCAGAAAAGACTGCTAAAGAGCCTAGATTTCTACCCTTGCCAGACATAAGAGGCACCCCAATTCTTCCCCAACAGGGTGGGGTCAAAAGAGGCTAAGTAACAGAGCAGAAGATGAAGTTCAGTGATGGAGAACTTGCCTGGCATATGTAAGGCCCTGTATTCTTTCAGGGCCACAAAAAGAAGGAGGAGAAGGAGAAGAAAAAGTAGGTGGCTGGGTATATAATCCCAGAAGTTTGGGAGTCTGACAGGAGAATCACAAGTTCAAAGCCAGCCTTAGCAACCTAACAAGGCCTTAAGTAACTTACTGAGGCCCTGTTTCAAAATAAAAAGGGCTGGGCATGTGGCCCAGTGGTTAAGTGCCCCTGGGTTCAATCCCTGGGAAACAGAGAAAGAGAGAAGTGTTGGGGGAGAAAAGGAGAAGGAGGCTAAATAGAGAGTTCAGACTTATACATCAATGTTTGGACTTTCCGGTCTCCATAATAATGTCAACCAATTCTTGAAATTTCTTCCCTTATATATACACATTGTATCAGTTCCATTTCTCTAGAAAAATATAATATTAGATAAAATAGAGTTCACAGCAAAAATCAAAATTACAATTACAGAGACATTATATAATGATCAAAGGGTCAATCCACCAAAATGAGACAACAATCCTAAATGTGTATGCACCAAACAATAGACTGCAAAGTATATGAACAAAACCTGATATAATTGAAAGTACAAATAGACAACTCATAATTAGTTGGTGATTTCAATATGCCTTGTTCAAAAACAGATGGGACAACTAGAAAAAATCTTATTATGTGCAATAATTGAAAAACACCCCAAACAACAGTATCTAATCATAATTTATAGAGCACTCTACTCAACAATAGCAGACTGCACATTCTTTTCAAGCACCCACAGATAATATCATTAATGAAACAAATCTCAACAAATATAAGAGAATTTCTGACCACAATGGAACTGAATTAGAAATAATTAATAGGAAAATCTCCAAACACTTGGAAAGTAAGCCACACACTTCTAAATAACCTATGGGTCTTGAACTCTTTATAAAGTGAGGACAAGGTTAATAGAAACCAAGAGTGTATGACAAAAGACACTGGAGCTTGTGAGAGTAGGGAGACATTAAATAATACACAACTGGAAAAGGTATAGAGGAGTATGAACTTTGCAGAAAAGCCATGTAATAGGAATTTTGAGCTTAAGAATAGGAACATTGTAATGCAAAGCACATGGCTCAGAACAAAGAACTAAAAGTATAAATACTCAAATCTCATTCATTTTCTACTTTTAATGTCCTACCCCATGGTGAGCATTTATATCCCTCTATTCTGTGCCCATTTCCTAGAATTCCATACATACCCCTCACCTTCAGATTTCTTTGTCATCAATGTTCCTATCATTTTCTTTTCTAACCCCAGTCAATTCATTCATCCATTGGACACAATGCAATATAAAATCAAAACTAGGATTATTACTCCTTTCTAACAAAGTGAACAACTAAATGTACCTCCCAGAACTCTGTCTACTGGGAAGATTTAATTTCACTACAGCCTTTCAGGACCACCCCTGAATGGTCCTGCAATGCAGTGGCTAGCCATCAACTCTCAGCCAACGCTATTACACTTGCAGACTCTTCTATAAGCCAAGAATGTTTCATTTCTTCCTCTGTTAATTATCTTAGTGAACACCCTACAAAGTCATGAGTTAAGGGACAGGTTTTGAAACAGGACTCAGTGCCATTAAATTGATACAGTTACTCACATACTTTACTTGTGTCTTCTGGTCCTATTTTATTTTATTTTTTTAATTATTTTTTATTTCTTCTAATTTGTTATACGTGACAGCAGAATGGATTTTAATTCATAGTACACAAATGGAGCACAATTTTTCATTTCTCTGGTTGTACACAAATTACACAGAGTTCATGTCTTCATACATGTACCAAGGGTAATGATGTCCATCTCATTCCACCATCTTTCCTACCCCCATGCCCCTTCCCTTTCCCCCCTCCTCTTTGAGCTATCCAAAATTCCTCCATTCCTCCCATGCTCACCCCACCCCCATAAAGGATCACCATCCACTTACCAGAGAGAACATTTGACCTTTGGTGTTTTGGGAATGGCTAACTTCACTTACCATGATATTCTCAACTCCATCCATTTACTTACAAATTCCATGATTTTATTCTCTTTTAATGCTGAGTAATATCCCATTGTGTATATATACCACAGTTTCTTTATCCATTCATCTATTGAAGAATATCCAGGTTGGTTCCACAATTTTGCTACTGTGAATTGTGCTGCTATAAACATTGATGTGGCTGTGTCCCTGTAGTATGCTGATTTAAAGTCCTTTGGATATAGACCAAGGAGTGGGATAACGGGTCAAATGGTGGTTCCATTCCCAGTTTTCTAAGGAATCTCCATAATGCTTTCCAGATTGGTTGCTTTCTGGTCTTATTTTAGTCTGCCCTTGTACTTAATATTCCACTTAACAAAGTTATAGTACAACATGATTCCAATATTCCTATTCAGTGGAACAGATTACGCTAGTTGATAAATATTTTAGGGCACAGAGTCACTTGCTATACCATGTTCTAAGAAGATCAAATAACAAATGACAAGCTGCATTTCAAATGGAAGTTAGTGAGCAGAAATTATGCTTTACTGAAAAATCACATAAGCCTAAAATTTTACTGTGGTGTTTTCTAGCAACACCATACTTCATATGTAACTACACAAATATTTCTAATACAATTTCATTCATTGGGTCATAAGGCTTATGAGGCAAGACAGTTTGCTCAGTAACCTGGTTCTGCAATAGAGCCTTCTTTTGTTCTAGGCTCGACTCAAAATTGTCAGTCTTATGGGAAATCCAGCAAATATGAGATTATAATTTGCCTAAACTCAGTGTAACTCAACTCAAAAATCTAAAGAGGTTCCATATCTTTTATGTAGTTGAGTGGTTCAAGGTGCAACAACTGTCTCTAACTTTTGAGACAATAATACAACTCAATCTAGACCATTAAGCCTCTGAAGACTTCACCAATATGGATGGTTCTTGATTTTTTATATCTTATATCCCACTGATTGTCATACATGTTTCTTTCTTAGCCATCTATAATATGCTTTTACTTTTTGTTCAACAGGTCCATTTAATATAATTTCATAGTAGATGATTGAAGCAATGTTCTATGGAATATCAAGATGCTGAGAATCCTTCCAGACCTGAGAAACCAAGACACTTGCTACAGACTTGAATAAGAAAATGAAGAGATTCTGATTTCCTTGCTTTGTGAAAGTAAAATGTTCTTGATAGAAATGTGGAAGAAGGGAGAAGCACTTTCTAAATAGCTGCACATCAATCCCCGATGACAGTTTTGATTTGTCTAAATGTATCACATAAGAAATCATAATCCTATAATCCCAGCAGCTCTGGAGGCTGAGGCAGGAAGATCACGAGTTCAAAGCCAGCTTCAAAAAATTTAATGAGGCCCTAGGTAACTTAGCAAGACCATCTCAACATTAAAAATTTAGGAAAAGGCCTGAGAATGTGGCTCAGTGGTTAAGTGCCTCTGGGTTCAATTCCTTGTA